CAGATGTATTACATGAACAAATCCTAAGTAGAAAGAATACACTTCCTCTGACCACTGTTTTACAGTAACGATAGCAGTAACAGCAAATGTTCCGTAATGTTAGCCACTTGCTAAGACCAAGCACTGAACACTCTTCTACAAGGTCACAAAGAATGCAGGAGATGGCTTAGGAGGCCATGTGACTTACTAGAGGTCAGAGTTCAGGGAGAGCAGAGCCAGGACTCCTAAGGGAGCCTCACAGGAGAGCAATAATACAGACATTGCGTCCTTCTGTAAGTGTGTTTGGGAAATTTATTTTCTTTGTGATTTTTCTCTCTCTAAAGTGGAATACAACTTTGGCTGGTTTTATTCTCTTATAAAATACAGTAAGACCACCTAATTCATGGATTTATTACACTCAGTTTTGACCAAGTGGAGTAAAACTAAATTTAAAAAATCAAAAGCAATTAAAAAACAAAACATTTTAAATTCTCATACATGCAATGCTCAGTTCAGCCAATGTGAAGTCTAGTCAGTCCTGTGCTATCATCAGTTGTGTTCAAATTGTTGTGATCTGCTGAGTGTTTCCCTTCCCTTCATTTTGTGAAAATCTGCCCCCCAAAAAGCAAATGGTACCTCAAAAGTAAGGTCAAAGTGAATGTGCTTTAATTTAAGTAATAAAGTGAAAAATTTCAATTTGTTGAAGACAGCATGTCTTTAGCTGAAACTGGGAAGCATTACAGGAAAATGAATCAAGCATCCACAGTACAGCAGTGAACTCTATATATCCTAAGCATTCTCTCTCTCACTGATACAGGAGAGAGAAAATTTGAACTCAAGGCTTTGTGCTTGCTAGGCAGGGGCTCTACCACTTGAGCCACACCCACAGTCCTGTTTTGCTTTCATTATTGGTCAGGTAGGATCTTTCATTTTTGCTCAGGGCCTGGCCTGATCCTCCTACATACACAGCCTCTTGCATAGCAGGGATCACAGGTGTGTGTAACTACTGCTGGCTTACTTACTGAGATGGGTTCTCACTAACTTTTTTGCCTAGACTGGCTTTGAACCACGATCCTCCTGATCTCTGATCTCCACCTCCTCAACCTCCACCTCTGCTGATGATTATAGACATCAGCAGCTGTGCTCGGCACACTTGCAGCTTTTTCTCAATGGCAGTCTCCCTGGAACCTTATACTGAAAGATACCAAGGGTCTATTTACTATGCTATATTGAACCCTCTCTTGGGCATTTAAGAAAAAAAAAAAAAGGAAAAAGAAAAGCCCAAACCAACTAAACATCAAACAATTAAGCACTAAGCGCTACTATTTCTCTCCCACTCCAAATCCATGTTGAAACTCTAACCCCTCATGTGGGTATACTTGGAAATAAGGCCTTTAAGGAATTAAGGTTAAATGAGGTCATGAGGGAGGGGCCCTGATCCAATAGGATTAATGCTCTTAAAAAAAGAGACACTAGTTGGGTGCTGGTGGCTCCTCGTGGGGCAGAGACCAGGAGGATCAAGGTTTGAAGCCAGCCAGGGCAAATAGTTTGAGAGAACCTATCTTGAACAAAACCCAACACAAAAAAGGGCTGGTGGAGTGACTCATGTGTAGGCCCTGAGTTCATACCCTAGTACCACAAAAAAAACCCAAAAAACCAAAAAAACATAAAAAAGAGACACCACAGAGTTGACACACATGTGTACCTACTCTCTCTCTACTTCTTATTCTCTCTTGCTATTGACTGCACACACAGAGGAAGGACCAGGTGAAGATACCATAAGGTGCACACCTACAAACCAGGAGAGGTTCCCCAGTAACTAAGTTGGCTGACACCCTGGTCTTGGACTTCCAGCCTAGCCTCCATAACTATGAGAAAATAAATTTCTGTTATTTAATCCTACCAGTCTATGGTATTTTGTTATGTCAACTGAGCTGATTAAGAGCCAAGAGCTCTTACATGTCTGTCATAAAAAGACAAGAGAAAGGCATGGAATTAATTGGAAGTAAAAGCACGACATTAGAGAAAAACAGGCTGAAGAAAGCGGTAATTAAGGAGAGCCTTCTCTCTTCTTCCCCCCTCATAGCCTGAAGCTAGAAAAGACTGAAGTTACAGAGGTACTTGCAAATATGCAGATCAGTCTTCTGGGCTACACATCCCCAGGAAGGGTCCTACTGAGTGAACTCATTAAAGCCCAACGTTTAGGAAACCCAGCAGAGGCAAATGAATAAGTAAAATCCTACAAGCCTTGGGATTGCTCAGAAGGAGATTTCCCCGTTCTCTAGGAAGTGTCCAGAACATTTCTTCAATACCAGGTCTCAAAGACAGAGGAGGAAATTGACAACCTCAGAGCATTTGTTTTGGAGTACAAAGAGAAAGGTGTTTTTCTAAAAAGTATCTTATAAAATAGAAACTACTCTCTCTACAGTTTGGACATAACTGAAGCCACCATCACAACTCATTTATTACAATGTAAATTTTTGAGAGCTGCTGTCTGGAGCTATCACACCAATTTAGGAGGAAGAAATTACAAAGTTATTCAATATCACCTGACTCCTGTCTTCTAGGGATAGGGACTAGCATTCCCAGCAGTTCAGGGCCATCTGCTAGCAGTCAGTGGACATGTGATAGTTTTACATCTGTGAAGTGAATGCCATTAGGAAAGCCAGCAGCGCAGGAAACACCTATTTTTTTTAAAAAGCATTGACAGGGAGTTTAAAACACAAGGAACATCTTAGTGTATCATTCTTATCTTTGTACAGTAAAATGAAAGTCTTAAAAATACCTTTCCCTATAAGAATGGCATGGCTGACTGCTATAATGGTCTAAAGTCTAGGCTGATACTACAAATCAGAAGCTGCTGCAGGAGTTCAGTGGAATTCCTAGTTAATCCAGCCACGGTCTATGCTTCTTGTCAAAGCTCACTGCTAGAGCCTGCCTACACAGGTAGCCAGCACAGGGAAACGAGGGATTGTGTGAGAAATCTAGAGCACTGAAATGAGGGTTGATATGTGCCATGTCTGTGGCAGAGTTTTAAGTTTCCATTGCTGGAAAACAGTATAAAGTGTCCTGGTTGGCATCCTACCGTGTAAGACATTCAGGAACCTGGGGATAGGCAGCTAGTAAAACCCAGTTGGAGTGATTTCTCTGTACTTCAGAAGGAAATGGTTTAGTTAAGAAAGCAGAGGGGGATATCTAGCGTGATGGGTCACATGCTTTACTTGATTTTCCATTAGATGAGCAATAGGGTATACGCTCTGTAATGCTCTTCCCATCCAGAGGCAGGAATTAAAGGGTTTAGACAGCAGGTCAATATCATTCTGTAATTGGAGCTGCCATTCTAGCAACTAATATAGAAGGGCTGCCTCAGATGTGATATGCATAGCCACTCTGGGCCTCTGTACAATCCACCAAGGAAAAAGTCCCCAAAAGGACAGTTGTTAACCTCTGACACCCACATTGGTGGATCAATGTTTTTGCCAGAAGCAAACTAATACCTGTACGTCTAAGCTGCTGTCTTGTAATGTCTACTGACAAGGTCACTGGTTCAGAACAGACAGCAGCTACTACTATTCAGTAAAACAGGCAACTTTCATAATCATTTGAGATCCATGGTATTGTTTAAAACTTGCATTCCGGGAGTATTTTCTGGAAGCCATCACTTCCCAAATTGCTGTCAGTAGGAGGCTTTTTATTGTTGGCTATTCCTGTATGGAATTTAATAAATATTCATCAACAAGCACAGCATAATTCATGCAGCCACTCTCATTTTTATCAGTTCCATGGGAGGCTTTTAGATTTGCTGGGAACTTTGGGGAGTTGAGTGGTTGACCATAAGGAGCTTAGTGGGGTCTTTGTGGGGAGGGCTGAGGAAGAGATAGTAAGGTTAACATCTGTTATCATAAGCCACTTTCAGAAACTTATCAGGAGTTACACACTACTGTGAGCGTGACACCATGCAGGCTCATGGGTGTTCTGTAATAAGCCGCATAAGACCCAATATATTTTGAAATGAATGGTTAGGAGTCAAGTTAATTCATGGTGATTTACCAGACAGAAATCATTTAATATGTCAAGTTAATTTTTAAGTATTACTTAAATCTGATAGCATATTTTATTCATTTCAAGTTACCCACCAGCATGGATTATTTTCAGGCTTTGAAGGAAAAAATGATTTCCATTTCTTTATTTTTGAAACTTCAAATTACATATCTACAAAATAATTTCAAAGTGACAAATGTTGTAAAATTTATATTGGTAAATATTACCTTTTTCAGATGCGGTCTGAGTTCAGCTATTAATTCTATAGTCTTTTGTAAGCATATAAACATACCGTTAACACAAAAATGTATTTTCAACAAATTGTCAACAGTTGAAACTTTCTTCTAGCTTTCTACAGTACCAGTATAAGCATCTTTTCACAGAAAGCTTGAGCCTGTCTGAACTATGAGATACTTTGTTCATGAGTTTATAAAAATATCACTTAAGAAGTACAGTTCTTCCTGCTGGGCATGATCGATCACACACACACACACACACACACACACACACACACACACACACACACACACACCACACACACACACACTGTAATCCCCGTGGGAGGTGGAGCAGGAGGAGCAAGGATCAAGGGCAAAGTTAGCAAGACTCTGTCTCTAAAACAAACTGAAAACAAAAAGGCTGGGGACTTGGCTCAAGTGGTAGAACACTTGCCTTGGGTTCAATCCTCAAAGAAAGGAAGGAAGGAAAGAAGAAAGAGAGATAGAGATGGGGAAAGGGAGAGAGGGAAAGAGAAAAAGGGAGGGAGGCAGTCAGAGAGAGAGTGGCTCAAGTGGTAGAGTGCCTGCCTAGCAAGTATGAGGCCCTGAGTTCAAATCTCAGTACCACCAAAAAAAGAAAGGAAGAGAGAGGAAATATTGTACTTTTGTCCTTCAGTCTTTTCATTGTGTGTTTCCACAACTTGTTCTCCAAGCTTGCATTTGGCTTTGCCATATTTCTGGCTTCTTTGTTTGTCTACTTACTGGAATGCCTGTGAAAGTGACTGGAGGAGACTGCCAGGAAATGCTGAAACTGCTGCCATTGGGGGTGAACTTGGCTGATCCTGGAATGGTCACCGGGGGCGTGGCCTGTTAAACAGAAAACAGAGAGAGTTATTCTGAAAGAACATTTCCCTCAGAATGTCCTACATTCTTATTACCAAAGTAGGACCTCAGGAATGGTTTCAGCTGTATTAATAACTCAGACTATCTGACAGGCGGAGATTAAACAGGGCCGAAAGGGGTAGCCAGAAACAGACTTTTATCCACACCTGAGCAACCTTTCCGGGTATAGAAGGAGATGGTTTTTGGCTGTCAATTTCTGAAACGTTATTATATACACATATGCATATTTTAGAACATCTGTAGCAATTCTTCACTATCAAATTGGAAAATATATACTTTGAGAGTTAATTGGGAAATGGTGGGTGTGTAAACTGGTCAACATTTTGGAGTGTATTTAAGCTATATGTAACAAAATTGTTATCATTCTGTATATTAGCTATTCCACTTCAAAGAATTCATTCTAAGGAAATGGATACAAGGATGATCACTGCAGAACCCTGTGTTATAGATGATAAAATTTAAAAAGAAACACAAATGTCCAGTAACAGAGAAACAGGTAAATACATCATCATATACCCAAAGAGCCATTAAAGATGCCAATGCTGAAGAAATCCCATCCATGTGGGTAAAGGTTCCTAATATGTTAAGCAGAAAAAAAAAAAAACCCAAGCAGAGTAAAAACAGTGCTGTAATAGATTCCTTTTCTGAAAAAATGTATACTCATAAATAGAACAGTCTTGAAGGACATACAGAAAATATTAACCAGGCAGCTCTGGGTTGTTCGGACTAGGGATGAATTTTCTTTCTTTGCTATGTTTTTAGTATTTTCTTTTTACTTCTTCCCCTCACATCCCTTTTTAAAAAATTTTGAGATAGGGTCTTGCTATGTAGTTTAGGCTGGCCTTAAACTTACTGTATATTCTGGGCTAACTTTCAACTCTTCATCCTCCTGCCTCAGCCTCCTGGGTACTTGGATTATACATGTTGTATTATCATGCCTGGCCTTCTGCTACAGTATTTTCTATATTTAGTATTTATCATATGTGGGAACAAGAAAGCCCCACTATTATGAATACATGCATTGGGAAGGACCTTTTAGATCACCTATTATGTGTTCTAACTCTCTCATTATACAGATAAGCAAAATCACTTAGTGAAGTTGGTTTAAACCCATGATTTCTTAACTAAGAGCTAACTACAAATAAGAAGAAATAAATGAATTATTCTTCTTGTGGATGTTTTTTGGAACAGAGCCTCTCTATGTAGCCCAGGCTGGCCTTGAACTTTTGATCCTCCTCCTGCCTCAACTTCCCAGTTAGGATTATAGGCATGTATCCCCACATTCTGCTAAAGTGTGCACTTTTTGGGGGGTAGTATTGGGGTTTGAACTCAGGGCCTGCACAAGATGGCGCCGTCCCTGCTTCTCTTCCAGGAGTTTACCTTGCCGCCGGCGCGAACGGGCACCCTATAGCAGAACCAGCCAACCAGCCTGCACCTCCTCACACCCCTCACTCCCTCAGCACATAAATACCCCTGTATGAACAATAAAATTTTGCAGCTTGATCAGAACTCCTGTCTTGCTGTCTCCTTCGTGTCTCTTGTCCCTTCATTCCTCCCCTTCTAGGTTCGCTACCCACGCTGATGTGTCCTGCAGGACGGGACATCTGGCGCCCAACGTGGCTGTAGCTTTTATAAAACAGGGGTGGAGAACACAACTACAAGAATGTAAGGAGATTCTTAAAAGTCACCTAAGGTAGTTGAGAATTATGGGGAACAAGGAGATTTAACCATGTCCTACATTTATAGGATTTGTCTCTAGGTTTTGCCAAACTTCAGCATGAATAAGTATCTGTTGGAGGCTCTGTTACAGCACAAAGTGCTTGGGTCCACCCCAGCTCTGACCCAGTAGGTCAGCTCTAGGTGGGAGGGAGTCCCCAAGAATTTATTTCTAGTGAGTTCCCAGGTGGTGATGACACCACTGTTGAGCTGGGGAATACTGAAAACCACTCCTCTAATCTGAGGTAGTTAGTTACCCACTTAAATGGCAGGGTAGGCTGAAGTTCCAGATTTGGAGAGCAGGGTTTTTCTGTCATTGCGCCAATGCTTTCTAAGACTCAGCTTCTATTTTATTCTCTTTCTGTCTGTCTAGCTAATCTATCTATGTATGTATCTATGTATCATCTATCTATCTATCTATCTATCTATCTATCTATCTATCTATCTATCTATCATCTATCTATCAGCACCGGGGCTTCACACTATTAAGGATTTTAATCCTCATAACAACATCTAAGGGACAGGATCTTCAGCCAGCACTGGGAAGTCTGAGAATAACCCACAGGGTCCATCTATGTGAAATCTGGGCTTTAAGAGTAGAAAAACAAATTTAGCTACTGGACTGCAGTGTGTGATGCTTTTTTCCATTGAGTTATCCTTTTCTCTCAGGCCAGATGGCTATGGCTTTTGGTCCAGATTAGAGTGACTACTCTCCTGGTCCCCTGCCAGTCACCTGGTAAGCATGGTCAGTGTGCACGAGGTAGAGGGTGGTGGGAGCTGAGCGGCTCAGTGGTGTCATTAGTTTAGTGTCAGTTTTGGCACAAGAAGTTTCTGTCCGGCTGGAGTCTGGGATGGGGAAAGTAGGAGGTGAAGCCAGGGACTGAGAGGGTGAAGCTGGAGCCAGGCTGCACAGTCCATCCGCCACGGAGTCTGTGTTGAGCTTGATCTCAGTATAGTAGAAGTCTTCCTCTCCATCACTGTAGTCAGAGTCTCCAACACGCCTAATGCAGAAGAGAGCAAAACAGATGTGCTCAGCCAATCTGCTCTTTCTTTGCAATCTTGCACATGGTGGTCCCTTCCGTCTGGAAGGCTTTTCCTCTCTCCCTTGTTTGCCTGAAACTCTCTTTTTATTTTTTTATTATTCATTAATTTTAAAATTAGGATATATTTGTTGTACGGGGGGATTCACTGTAAAAATTCCAAATAGGTTTATATGGTACATTGGTTAGATCACCCACCATCTCTCCCTCCCTCCTTCCTTCACACCCCACTTAAAGCAACTGCAAGAGGTTTCATTATTCTATTTCATATGGGTATATGAAGTCCATCAACTATATTCTCTCACTTTCTCTCCTTTGTGCACCCTCCTCCCTCCTACAAGTATACCCCAATACACCGTACCAATTTTACAGTCCTGTCTTTCATTATTAATATCTAAGCTGACATTCAAAGGGGTTTCTCAATGTATCGCTGCTGTGGGTATACTTCACTTTGGTTTGTTCAACCCCTTCCATTACTCTCCCTTACCACTTTACCTCCCACCCCCATTTTTCAGCAGCTTCCAATACATGTCCTTATATCCTCTACCTTCACAGATGTTATGTTTTATGATATTGCTGATGCTCTATTATTCTCTTTTCCTTTCCCAAGTGGAACTCTCTTCATAACCTGTAACACTCAACTATCTACTTTGAGAGAAATCTTCCTTAACCTCTGCTATGGTTTGAAAGTGTTCCCCAAAAGTTCATGTGTCAGAAACTTAATCCCCAAATTCACATGTTAATGGTGTTTGGAAATAGGACCTTTGGGAAGTAATTAAGATTAGATGAAGTCACAAGGATGGGGCCCCTATGATCGCATTAGTGGCTTTACAAGAAGGAAGAAGACAGACTCAAGCTAGTAGGCTTGCCGTCTCACCATGCCATGTCTGCCATGTTATAATGCAGCAAGAAAGCCTTCACCAGATACTGAAAAGATGCCAGCACCATGCTTTTGGACTTACCCCCATTAGGAATATGAGCTATATAAACTATTTATAAATTACCCAGTCTCAGGTATTTTGTTATGGCAACAGAAAATGGACTAAGACAACCTCTTAAAGTAATATACCCACCCACCCATCTACCCATCCATTTATTCATTCATTTAATCATCTGACCACAATTTATTGAGAATCTATTATATCTGACTGTTCTGCCTCTTTATGTCATAATGGATAAAACATAGATCCTTCTCTGATGGGAACTTACAGTTTAATGGAGGAGATAGTTGAGAAATCCATAAAGAAACAGACATTTCATATATCAGGCATTGGTAAGTCCAAAAAGAAACATTAAGCAGTATAAGAGCAAGGTAAGTGATTGGGGATGGCCACTGTATTTTACAGAGTGCTCAGAGGAAAGCTTTGTCAGGAGGTGACATTTTAGCAGACACACTGAAATGAATGGGGCCTGTGAAGCACACAGAGGACACAGAGAGTGTCGCAAAGCCCTCTGGTGGGTGGACCTGGTGTTTTCCCAGGAGTGCAGAGAGGCCAGTGGCTGGAGCAGAGAGAATGAAGGTAGAGGCAAGATCATGTAGGGTTTCACTGCCTTGGGAATGGCTTTGCCTTTTATTCTGGTTGTTATAGAAGCTACTGGGAGTTATGAGAAGTTTAAATTAGTTCTTAAAAGGATCACTGTGGCTACTGTGTGGTAAACAGAAAGCAGGAGGACAAACACAGGAGCAAAAAGCCATGCAGGAGGTGGTTGCCATCAGTAATCTGATGAGGGCTGGAAATGGCTGGGCAAGGGTAGTGGCAGGGGAAGTGATAACAAGCCAGTCTGGGTTGTCAGGAGCTTCCTCCTAACCATTAGTTCTTCATCTTTCAAGTGACTCATCTCTTGAGTTAATTACTTGCATCTTTTGGCAGTACTAGAGTTTGAACCCAGGGCTTCCTTCTTGCTAGGCAAGTGCTCTACCACTTGAGCCAGACACCCAGCCCTTTTTTGCTTTAGTTATTTTTCAGGAAGCAGCTTGAGGTTTTGTGTTGGGCAGCTTTGGCTTGTGATTCTCCTACCTCTTCCTCCTGAGTAGCTTGGATTACAGGTGCACACCACCACATCCAGCCCCTCTGTATGTTTTTGTTTAAAAATCTCTTTGTCATCTCATTGTGACTGTGATCTCCAGGGCTTTGTCCTGTTGATCTTTGTATCACATATATCAGCATACCTGGCATGGAGTAGAGCTTGGAAATGCTGAATGAATGAACTGCGTGATGCTGAAGTTATTGTAGCACAGTAATTGAGCCTGTGGATTCTGGAGTTGGATTTCACAAACTCAGATCATGACTGACATTTTCTAAGTGTGGGTGTGATTTTGGCAGCCTGAACACAGCCCTGTGCCTTGGTTTCTTCATTTATAAAATGGGGTTAATGAGAGTACCTGTTTGTTGTGAGGATAAAGTGAATAAATACTCACGTGCTGAAGTGCACCTGCCACAGAATAAGCACTGTGCAAATGCTTAGCAAATAAAAATGAGAATGAGGTCTGAAGGTCTCAGTTTTCACTGTCACCAGTACCTTCCCAGATGCTTTCAAAGTTCCTTCCCCGAGTAGAAAGTTGTGCTTTCCCAAGAAAGTTTTGAATAAAATAAAACAATTGTGCATGACCTTAGAAAACATTTATTAGAATTGTTAATTTTTCAAGAAGTGATGCTTATCTGGTACCTGGTTTTCTGGGACGGCTGAGAGAGGTCAGGAACACCCTCATTTCATGGACATATCTAGCAGCAGCCATAGATCACTGATGTGAAACAACCTTATTTTCTTGCTAATGATTCCTATATAGAACCTAACATAAACCACCTTCCCTGCCCTCCTGGTCTTTCTGTTTGGACAAATCAATGTTTTCTCCCAGCCTATCCCCATTTCCTCTGAGCTTTCAGGCTGACGCATCTGGGAGGTGTCTTTGTACCAGATCAGGTCTGGCTGAGCTTGGCTTTCTGACCAGCATACTATTGAAGACCCCAGAGAATGGGGCGAAGAATGAGCATTTGTTCTATTCCTTTCCCCACCTCCTTTCCAGTCAAAGGCAAGCTGAGTTACTGCTGGTTGCCAAGTGCCACAAATAAGACACACAGACCTGGGGAAAATTGTGAGTTCTCCAGGGGAAAAATCAGGATCAGCTCCTGGTGTACAAGAATGGAGTGAGATTTCAGAGAAAAACAGTGCACTTTTTATACTGGATGCAAGACATGTTTTCTTTGGGCTTTGACATTCTCCCTCTCTACACCCACACACAGCCAATACTCTTTTAAAATGTCCCATTTTCTACAGTTGTGAAACTGAGCTCATGGATTAAGGTAAGAGCAGTGTTCTCTCCCAGTGCGTGAGAGAGCTCAGACTCTGGACTGTTTCTTCTTCTTCTTTTTTTTTTTTTTTGTGGTGGTGGTACTGGAGTTTGAATTTAGGGCCTCATGCTTGCTAGGCAGGCACTCTACCACTTGAGTATGGCTCCAGTCTTCCTGGACTTCACAGATTGGCCTTGGAGTCCTGCAAACCCAAGTTTCTTCCTGGACAGTGGTTGGCGGGGCTATGAACCACAATTTGCCAAGGCGATTCTCATAGCACATCAGTAAAAAGGGGACCCTAGGAAAGCAAATAAAGTGGCTGCATTTTGAATGCCACCTACTGTTGCGTGCACTCCGGGAGCTCAGAGGAAAATCCTGTGATACCACTCATGGTCTATAAATACATATACACATAGCCTGCGCTTTTGAGTAAGACTGAATAGGATTCAATTTTCCGAGCAGACAGGCTTGAAAACAAATACTCTACCTGCTGGCTATAGCTTTGGGAAGTTTTTTCTAAGCTTTTAGCTTACTCTAAGCTGTTTATGTTGTGAATTGTTTTGATAGTGAGATTTGAGGGGACACACTACAGGATTTCCTTCCTCGAAGGCTTTGTGGAGAGGAGTGAGGGTGTTTTGCACAGTAATATTTTAGTGTGGCATTTCTTGGACGTTCATGTAGAACTGGGGAAGCTAAAGCCAGCCTGGGCCACATCCCCAAGGCTTAGTGACCTTCTGGGTGTCCTGCTCTAGAAGGTTCAGATGGTTCTCCAAGTATCAGCCTGAAGAGTTAGGGAGGCATGTCTCTATTTTTCCCTGTGGTCATTGATGGACTGATCCTCATGGATTGGCATAACATCTTAGAACAGATTTTCCTTCTCTGCATGTACTACTTTTCATGGATGATGCACTTCCTAAATGTATTCCTTGCTGGGCAAAGTGACTGCTGTGTTTATCTTTTTACACTCATCTTCCTTGTCCAACCATGTAGGCTTGGTCATGAGTTTGGGTTTGCCTATGCACACTGGTAAGAACTTAGGGTTTCTCAGGGTCCTGTCTTAAGTCCTGGATGACCTGACCAAAAAGACTCACAACCAAAGCAGGAGACAGCTGACCTGCCACTGCCCACCTGCTATGGATTCTAACTGCTGTGGCTCCCAAAACTCCATTGTTATCTTTATACACTAGGAGGAAAAGTATCAATTGTACAAATCAATTCTATTTGAGCAATAGAAAGGTGGAGTCAGAACACTGGGCATCATCAGAAGAGTACCACCAGCAGACTGGCATAGTGATTCTTAAACCCTCTACGATGATATATGCCTTTGAGCCTCAAAGTCATATTCACGACTCTCCACTGGAAAAATAAATGCACATTTCATTTTATAGACAATTTTAGGAGGCCCAAAGACCCCTTGAAGTGCAACCACAGCTCCCAGATTAAGAACTACAGTTCTAGTGTTTTGTATTTTGTAAGTATCTCTCACACACATTTTATCTTTGACACTCACACATGCCCAGCTGACATTACAAGTCATTTGAGAGAAAAGGGACTCGGAGCAGGCACTTGCCTAATGAGAATAAACCAGGGAGGCTTTACAGCATTCAGTCTTTGTTGTCTGCCCTGGGATATACTGCCATACTATCAGCAGTGGCTGCCTCTTTGGAGAGATGGAAGAGCAAGCCAGTCCAGTGTCTAGAACTTAAAAGGCACAGTGTGGCCCATGATCTCTGAGTATGGGGGTGGAGGCCAAACTGACTGAGGCTACCTGAAGCTCTAGATGGAGGACTGCCTTACCCGAGGTGAACGGTCCGGATGTGCTTTTGGATGCCTGCAGCAGTGCTGAGCACCTTGCCACAGTTTTTCCAGAGGCATTTGAACATCACCTTCATGGAGTTCTACAAAGAGGAGAGAAACAACGTAATGAAAACTAACCCATCGCTATTCACTTTCTGTCATCGCAACCTATTTTTTCCTTCATTAGAAGAGTAATCCTCCCCGTGCTCTTGACTGTAACTCAGCATACCGTTCCAGGACTTCCCGAGCTGTTGAGCAGCTTGGTGCCCTCAGACATTTGCTCACATCCTTCGTGAGCAATGAGCTCGGCTAGGACACTTCAGATCATGCCCATGAATTTGGGTCACAACAGTGGCTAACATTCACCGAGCACTTACAAGACGCCAGGTACGAGCTGAAGTGTTTATCCTACTTAATCCTAAAACAGAGAAGCTATTATTAATCCCTACTTTATAGAGGCACAGACAGCTTCAGTGAAAACTGCCCAGCCAATAAACTAGCTATAGTCAGAGGTAGAAAACAAATCCAGAAAGTCTGGCTCCTGAACCCAGCCTTCCCACCAGCACATGACTCCACGTTCTTCAACGAGAGTCTCAATGTTTTCCAGAAACAGTCTGGCACAGTGAGGGCACTATTTTGGACTTACTTCTCAAGTCCTGAGTGCTTTATTTATAAAGTAGGAAGAATAACGGTGCCTGTCGCATAAGCTTATTATGAGAATTTAATGAGGTCAAGGAAGTGAATCAGAAGAATACCAGCAGGAGTAAGAGAAGCTATTACGATAGCATTAGGATTTTGCTTCCCGGAATGGATTTCTTTCTTTTTTTTGCAGGGCTGGGGACTGAACCCAGGTCCTTGTACATGCTAGATAAGCACTCTACCACTGAACTATATTCATCCTGGAATGAATTTTACAGGAAAAGGACATGGGGACAGACACTTCCATGTGTTTACCAAGTCTCTTTCTTTTGGGGAGGGCCTTGGAGCACTATGGGAGTTTGAACTTAGGGCCTTAGGGCCTCATGCTTGCTAGGCTTCTTTTTCTTGAATGCACATAGCTTGATCTCATTTTTCAACCTTTGTTGCAATCAAGATGGGTCATGTGACTAAATTAGGACTATTGGAACGTGATGCACATTCTTTCCAAGCTTCACCCCTAAACTACATCCCAATGCTACTCCCACCTGCTGTGCTGCCAAGGACACCCAAGGATTGAGGGGACAGCAGAATCTCCAGATCATGGGTTCTTTATCCTTTGTTTGCTATGAGCTGCTTTGGCAGTCAGGTGAAACCTTGAGCTCCTTTTCAGAATACTGATTTTTAATGTTAAAGTAAATTATGGGCTTTAATTTATGTCTTAGTAGAAGAGTGCTTGCCCACCCTTCATGAGGCCCTGGATTCAATCTCCAGACCCTCAAAAAGCAAAACAGAAGAAAGCCAGGCACCAGTGGCTCATCCTGTAATCCTAGCTACTTGAGAGAATGACATTGGGAGGACTACAAATCTAGAGCAAGGAGGTTTGTGAGGCTCCATCTCAACAGAAAAAAATCTGGACCTAGTGGTGCTTGCCAGTCATCCCAGGCTTCCTGCAACCATGGGAAGCCTAACCATGGAGATTCTTGGGCAGAGGATTGAGTTCAGGCTGACCTGGGCAAAAAATGAGATCCTATCTCTAAAATAACCAGAGAAAAAAGGACTGGAGGCATGGCTCAAGTGGTACAGCACCTGCTGAGAAGTGCAAAGCCCTGAGTTCAATCCCTAGTACCTCAAAAAAACAAAAAAACCAAAAGAAAAACAATGCAAACAAAAAACCAGAACCATCTCTCTCACAGAATTACAAAGAAAAGCAAGTATACTGGAATACAATTGTAAGTGTCAGAAATATTTTGTGATATGGTAATAACAGGTTAAATAACAAGATCTTGAAGTGGGTCTAATAATAACCAAAATTTCAGGGGAGTGCTAAGTATAAGTGATATTTTATGATATTTACTAAGTTTGTAATGTGATGCCTATGATTTCTATTGGTATTAAAGTCACAGGTAGTGCTAATATTATGGTTTGCTGCCTTCAATCATAATTGCAGGAAGTGTTATAGTTAAGAGGATAATAAGGACACACATTCCCCTATTCAGGTTCCTAAATTCCCTCTGAATTCTGCACACCTCTTTGGCGATCTGCAACCACCAGGTGAAGAACCCTTACACTAGAAGAAAGGAACTTGGGTCCCTGGAGGGCTGTGTGGGGGCAGAGACACTGCCCCCTTCACTACTCCCACTGACCTGGTTGGACTGTAATATGAGAAATAAACCTTTATTGAGTTGAGCTCCTGGGGTTTGGAAATGCGTTGTTCTGATAGTAAGGCTGCCTTGACTCACAAACACAGCAGTGAACCCTTGTCTGAACTGAGGGAATTGATGTAGCTTTGTTTACATATGTGCTATGATTTCTGCCATCACATATGGCACACAGTTCCCAGCACCATGCTCCTCATTCATGTGTTTAGAAGACGGAACGAGCATCTACACGACTGACCGAGATGCCCAACCCCAGTGAAGACTCTCTAGGTCTCTAGATAGAAAAAGTGTTTGGAAGCTTCCAGAACTGAAGCATGTCTATGTGTTGGAGAACAGTAGCTTTTAGCCTGGCAAGCAGAGGCCAAAGGACAAAACACAGCAGCATGTTGCTATAGTCTGTTACATCAGATTTGTGACAACGGAAGGCACCGGTGTCCTTATGGGTGTCATGAACCCGGTGGCTTGATATGTCTCAGTGACTCTTCCTGGGCAACCAGTGTTCACAAGCACAGCAAGTTTGTTGCTCCCTAAGTAGCTCCTGCACATCCCTATCAGCTCAGTGAGGCCCCTGCTATGTGTAGTGTTGAGTGGAAGAGCTGGAGTTACAGGAGCCAGAGCTGAAGCTGAAGGAAGGACATGAGCTGAAGGGAGGACATGAGACAATTTAGAAGACTTTACAGGAACCCTAGGAATCTGTACCCATTCTAAGCAGACATTTCATAAGTTTCTGGCTCCCTGATTCTCTCGGGCCATGGGTTGAAATACATGGACTACAACTGGAGCCAAAAGGAGCAATTTAAATCTTCTGAAGTTCACAAAACGAATTCTTCTTGGTATTTTTTATTTAAAGCATGTAACTTGGCTCTTGCCCATTTTTTCAAATGGTGCTCTACTATAGAAAATATCTCCCATTTAAGGGAATTAATGACTCAAACCAAATTATAGGTACCTGATATTTCAAATATCTGCCTGCATATGAAGTCATGATAGATGAAAACAATTTTTGATTCATTCATAAGCTTTTTGCTGATGACAGTCTTTCATTTATTGAACTAAGTACCTGCTTGGCAAGGAATATTCCAAGTGCTGGGGACAGAGAGCATGCAAGAAAGGATGCTGCCCTGGAATAAAATTCTTGTGGGGATATATTTTAATATATGACAACCATGTCTAAGGCCTCTAGCAGATGATTTTTGAACTTGGACTGGAACTGGCTGGAAAAAGAATCAGCCATGCTGAAAGCATGAAGACAAAAACAGCTTGTCCTATGGTGGGTGAGTGTGTGGAGGGAGGTGAGAAAGAAGGACTGAGTTTTTAGAGTGAGGTGGGGAAGGGGGCAATTAAAAATTAAAAAAACAATTTTTTTGGCAGCACTGGGGCTTGAACTCAGGGCCTCATGCTTGCTAGCCAGGTGCTCTACCACTTGAGCCATATTCAAGTTGGGGGTGGGGCAATTTTTTTGAGGTAAGTTGGAGAGTCAGGCAGGGCCAGATCATGTAGGGCCTTGAAGGAGAAGGTAAGGAATTTCAATTTTATTCTGAAGAAAAATTACTGAAAGAGGAGAGTGACACTATATAATTTAGATGAAAAAAATTAGTCTTAGAGCTGGAGGTGTGGATCCAGTGGTGGAGTGCCTGCCTAGTGAGTGTGAAGCCCTGAGTTCAAAGCCCAGTATTGCCAAAAAAGAAAAAAAAATATGAGTTTGTTTGGGGAGCAGGAGAAAGTAAGTTTACTAGTATGGGTGCTATCATAGTTAAGGGGGGTGGTTAGAGCCTACAGGGTCCTGAGGACGAAGAATGGAGGACTCATTCAAGATAGATTTTGGAGACTGATCTTAATGTTGGGTTGAATGTGAGTCATGATCAAAGTGGTGATACTAAAGATGATGTCACGCTTTAGGTTTGAATGACTGGGTGAATTGTGGTTCTGTTTTGAAAATGTTAATCTTGAGATTTCTATTATATATCCAAAGAAGGTAAGAAGTAGGAAACTGAATATATAAGCCTGGAACTCAGGGAAGTGAGAGGCAGGCATAGAAATTTGGAGTCAGAAGCTCAAGAAACATTTATCATTTGGGTCTGGCTGAGATCACCTAGGGAACAGTGCAGCTAGAGATGATGGCATGTCCAGGACACTGCTGTATCTGATGTTCCAGGCTGGAGACTAAAATGCAGCAGTAAGAGAGAGGAGCAATCAGGACAGTGTGACATTAAAAGCACAAACATAAGAAAATGCCTCAGAAAGGAAGATGTGACCAACAGCATTGAACAAGAACTGGGAAGTGTCCCTTGGATTCTGCATATGGAGGCCACAAGTGGTCACACAGCAACAGCTTTCACAGAGGGTGGGGATGGATGTCAGACTAGCATGGAATGGGTTTAAGGCAATGGAGAGAGTAGGTGCCACACACTTCAGGAAGTTTTGCTCATCTATGAGCAGTTAAGGGAGAGTCTGAAACGATGATGGATACTAATGCGAGTTTTTTATGTAGATGGGGATGACTGTAAACACGAGGAGAAATTGAGGGTGCATTAGAGGTAGAGGCGTTGGAGTAACTCCAGGATAAGCTCTGAAGAAGATGAGGAGGTAAGTTCTGGTACCTCTGACACAGGAGGAAGGGCTGCCTTGGATGAGACAGGGCAGTTCTCCTTGGGGAAAGTAAGGGAAACAGACCATAGATGCAATCAGTTTGCTGATTTGGTGCAGGAGAAAAGAAGGCCATATGTGGGTGCTTGTGATATCTCAGTGACGTAGGAAGCAGACTCAAAGCTGAGACAACCTTAAGACAGTGAGAAAGAAACAAG